GTCGTAGTAGTAGTAGTAGTAGTAGTAGTAGTAGTAGTAGCAGTCGTCGCAAAGACCGTCGTAGAAAAGGTCGACGAAACCGTGATGGTGGCGGTAGTCGTCGTCGTTGTCGTCGTCGTAGCAGTAGCAACAACAACAGTAGTAGTAGTAGTAGAAGTAGTAGTAGTAGTAGTAGTAGTAGTAGCCGTAGTAGCCGTAGTAGTCGTAGTAGTCGTAGTAGTAGTAGTAGTAGTAGTAGTAGTAGTAGTAGTAGTAGTAGTAGTAATAGTCGTAGTAGTAGTCGTCGTCGTCATAGTCGTAGTCGTAGCAGTAGCAGTAGAAGTAGTAGTAGTAGTAGTAGTAGTAGTAGGAGTAGGAGTAGGAGTAGTAGGAGTCGTAATAGTAGTAGCGGTGGTAGTAGTAGTCGTAGTCGTAATCGTAGCAGTTGCAGTAGTACTGGTAACAATCGCCGCAATCGTAGTCGTCGTTGTAGTGGTCATGGTAGTAGCAACGGCAATCGCAATAGTATTATACCTACGCCGTTGTACCACTACTTTTATTGATATCATCCGTGTAAGCTGTATACATGATCGTAGAAACTTCGTAGAACTTGTGCTTAGTAGCAATCGTACTGCAAGTGGCTTGTAATAGCAAAGGCCAATATGGACTGTTGAACCCTCACGGAAAACTGTTTACGGCATTGCGTCGCGAGGGTATCATTTATGTTGATTCACTTTTCTTCTGCGAACTCGCATGCGACATTCTGGAGGAGGACATACAAGAGAATGAACCAACAACTTGATATTTATGTGAACAGTTCTTCTTCGAACGCCTGAGGAGGGACCGATATCCCATCCCCAGGAGGAAGGAGGAAGGCGGAGGAGGAGGGGAGGGGGATACGCCCACACCCAGGAGGATGGAGAGGATGGAGGTGGTCGAGGAAGCGTCCTTTCCCAGGCAGAACGCAGACGAGGGGGTGTCCTTTCTGTGGAGAAGTCAGAAGGCGAAGGAAGACGAGGAGGAGGATGGCAGAGGAGGAGGAGGAGAACAGCGAGGAGGTGGAGGATGAGAAGGATTGAGGAAGATGGTGAGACTGCGGAGGAGAAGGAAGAGGAGGAAAGGGAGCCACGAGGAGGTGCCCTGGAGCGTAGTTCTTGGCCACGGTGTCCTCTTGAGGCCGGATCTCTGGCCGTGGCGCTGCCCCCCGTGATCAGTTCTGAGGTAATGAGGACAAGGGGAGGCCACAAGGTCATCAATGGTATGCCTCTTAATCTCGTTGTCGCCGCCGCCAGTCGTCGTCGCCCTCCCACGTCCGGAGGAAGAGGGTCACTCGCCGCAGACGCCCTGAAGCCCTCCGGCCACCTGCTCCGGGCCCGCGGGGCCGCGGAGGCGGCGGCCGCGAGGAGGAGAAGAGGCTGAGAGAGGCGAGGAGGAGGAGGAGGAGGAGGAGGATGACGAAGAAGAAGAGGAAGAGGAGGAGGAGGAGGAGGAGGAGGAAAGGAGGAGAGGTGGAGAGGAGGGGGAGAAGGAAGAGGAGGCGAAGGAGGGGGGCCAAGCGTTACATAGGGTGTTTGGTTGTCTAGCACGCAGGCCCTGCGTCGAGGGCGATGAACTTTCAAATCGAGCGTGCAGGAGGCAAGAAGAAGCAGAGGGAGGGCCGATGTCGCCACAGCCACGCCGACGCAACACCACGGGGGGGAGGGGAGAGCAGGAGAGGGAGACCACCGCCGTCAGCGGAGGAGCCCCAGCTACCGCCGACCACCCACAACGCCCAGGCGTTTAAGCTTGGCCCGCAAGCCGAGCCTCCTGGATGAGTTCCCCAGGGGAAGCTCGGCGGCGGCCCGCACGGCTTCAGAGATTTGCCGGAGGCGTGCCTGGGTAGGCGGGAGCCTGGGACCAGCGCGAGCAATCCTGTGGGTATGGGAAGCAGCCACCACCCTCCTGATGCGCTTGTGGGAGGGGTCCAACAGGGCGAACTTTGCAGCTGTAGTCTCTGGGAGGGATCCCCCGCACTGTCAGAGACCAGCATGCGCTAAAGTGTCTGCAGGAATGGTAGTGCCTTAAATCGTCCCATGCGCGGCACCCGAAGACGCAAGTGTGCGATTCTTGCTGGAGCCCGTGTTCGATGGTCCAGTTGCCGCACCAGGTCCGCAGGCATGCGAATGCCCAGGCAACTGGGACCTTGATGAGTTCAGCCCGGAGAGCCTCCCCTGGGAAGACAACATCGGGTGGCAATTCTCCGGGCGAGGCGCACCATTTTTGGGAGCGGGTGGAACGGAGCGAGGCGAAGTCGTCGGGGAAGAGGGAGAAGACGGGAGAGCGGTAAAGGTGGGATTGGAGACGGACGTTGGGAGTGTCCCCTATCGCCTGCCGCGCGCTCTGCACAGCCAAGGCGACGCTGGCAGCCATGCGCCGCTGGGCAGGGAACCCCGCGAGATCGGTCCGAGATGTACGCACTATGGGTGGCGACCGCCAGAACTCTGGGGAGAGTCATCCGTCCTCCTTTCGGGGATGGACAGACCCCCCTTTATGAAGGGGCCCCAGGACACACAAATAAATATACACAAATATAATAATTCCCCATATTTTCGCATATTTTCTGGGTTTTGGTCTTCCCGCCCAATTCCCATATTTTCCCATATTTTCTGGGGGATCGACGATTAATTGTGTCTGTGTGTTTTTTTCCTCCTGACTTTAGTAAAACGTGGCTTAGGGAAAACGACCCGAGGCCCAAACCTGGCGGGCGCAAGCCTGGAAAATCACGGCCACGGCGCCCTCTCGAGAACCGACAACGGACAATTCACTAATCGACGTGTCACTGTTGGGGGTTCTGTCCACCCCCGATCCTTGAAGGCCTGCGCGAGCGGGAGTTCACGTTCTGCGCAAAAGACAAGCCGGGCTAGGAGCGTTCGCCACCCCGGGGAGGGCCCCGCACCCAGCGTCTCCTGGTCCTCTCCCTCGCCACCCTCCCCCGCTCCGCCCAGAAAACCTTCCAGGCGAAGGAGGAGGAGGAGGAGGAGGAGGAGGAGGCGAAGGAGGAGAGGGGCCACCCCTCGTTGAGCTCCTGCCTCAGGGTCCTGTGCCGGAGCGGGAGTGTCACTGGCCAAGGGTGCTCCACGAGGAGCGAGGCTGGCCAGGGGTGGCTCCTCGTGGAGCCACCCTTCGCTCCTCGAGGAGCCACCCCCAGGGGGGTGCTCCACGAGGAGCGAGGGGTGGCTCCACGAGCCCTGCCCTTCTGGATCCCCCTGGGCCCGGACGTGCCGCTGCCCACAGGGAGGGGCTCTGCGGCAGGCGCTGGGCGCCACCGTTCGACCACGGCACCCGAGCGAGTCGGGGAGCGCGCGCCTTCTGCCCCGGCCTCGGGGGACTCGCCGGCTCGCCCTTCTTCCAGGGGCCTCCCACCGTGGAGTCGCCTGGCTCTCCAGTTTGATCCCCCACTCCCAAGGGGCGATCGCCTCTGAGGGGGGGGGGCTGCGTTCGACGAACCCTCTGGCCGAGAGAGACAGCGACAGAGAGAAAGCGAGAGAGAGAGAGATAGAGAGAAGAACAACAAAAGCATAAACATAATCTCTTGGCGCTCCGCGCGGATTTCTTGGATTTGCGCTGGACCCTGCTCCCTGGCGCGCGGAGCGCGCCAGGGGCGGCGCCGGAGACGCCGCCGGGGGGGCCCAGCGCGGACACAAAAAATCCGCGCGGAGCGCCAACAGTTGATGTTTATGGCGTTTTTTATTCTTCGAAGAGGGAGAGGTGAAGACGAGGATGATGCGATTGAAGAGCGGGATCGACCCGAGTCCGAAGGGGTACTTCGGCCAATCGGTCCTGCTCGTCTGGCAGGGCGCTTGCTGAGTGTCCAAGGAGACGGCGCAGTCTGCCATAGAACTCTCTACAGACGGCATCGGAGCCAACAAGAGCCAACAGGAGCAGGATGGATGAGGATGAGGATGAGGAGCAAGGGTTACTGAGGTTCTTATCATCAGCCGACGACCACTTACGGTTCCCTCGGCGTGTGAACAACAATACCGCCCCGCACCCCTCCCCCAAGAGCCGGGTCTGGCCGAGTTGGAGGGGGGTTCGGTGGGGACGGATCCAGTTGGAGCGAGAATGAACTCGGCGGATCTGGCGGGCCGACTCATCTGCTCCCGAAGTGCTCCTGCACGCCTGCCAAGTCGTCATACTGGTCCAAGACGGCCCAGGACGATTCCCGAAATGGACCACGAGAGTCTGAAAACGTTCCCAGAGCGGGAGTGAGGTTCAAGGAAGAGGGCAAGGATAGGACGAGAGCAATACCATCATACGGTTGGCTCAGGATACGTTCTAGGAGTTCGGAAGCCTATAGCGGCCCTCGCCCATTCGTTCTCGGCCGCTCGTCCCTGGCCGCCTGGGCCACCAACAAAACCTCGACATCTTAGAACGCATCTGGCGAGCGGAGCGCGCCAGGGGCGGCACCAGAGGCGCCGCCAGCTGAGCGGAGGCGATGGCGGGGGCGTCCTCCGCAGAGCCCGAACTCTCGACGCGCGCGCGCGCGTTCGCGCCCGCGCGCCGCGGAGGAGAGGGCGCGGAGGAGAGGGCCAGTGCGAACGTGACGTCGTGATGCGGTTGGCTCAAGATGCGGTCCAGGAATCCCACGGGCCCTGTGGGCGTACGTGTGTGGTTCAGGTTTCTCAGTCGTTCCAATCACCTCCCTCTCCTTCAGCAAGAGGCTTGCCTCTCGCCCTGCACCCTCTCCCTGGGTCTGAACGGGCTCCAAGATGCTTCCACGAGGCCCCCACAGCGTGACTGCATGCTACAACTCATCTATGATCAGGGTAACTCGCCTGGTGATTGTTCTCGGATGGGGGGACATGCGAAGCGTCGAGGACTCGGGAGTATCTAGCGGCCCTCGCTCCCGGAGGTCGTGCGGAACGATAGATCTTGGAAACCCATGTGCCCTGGAAATCTTGGAGCGTATCATGATCATGACTTCTCGGACCCCCTCCGACTGACTACGTTTTCCTGGGGCCGGTGGAAGCCTCTCCAGGACCTGCTTCGGCCTCTTCGTGGCCTCGTGGACCTTCTGGTGGCCTCCGGGAACATCAGAGGGCCTCTTCGGCGCCTCTCGAGAGCCTCATGAAGCCTCTCGAGGGCTCCTGGCAGCGTTTGATCCCGACCTTCCCGAACACCTCTGGCTGCCTCTTTCATCATGCGGGTCGTTTTCCAGGGTCAGCGGCACTGGCCGTGATAAGGCCTTCTCGATCGTGGAGAGTATCATGATGTGAGCGTTTCTTTTGTTCGGCGTTTTGACAATGGGCGGGAGCGGGGGGAAGGGGGGGGTCTGGCTCTGGACCTCTGCTTCATGCCACTGTTTGGAACCGTGCGTCCTCTGGGGGAGACCCCACCTGCTCGAAACAGGCGCCTAAAACAGCCACGATCTTATCATTGGGAGGGGGAACGGTGGGGAGGGTACAAGGGCCCGCGCCGACCAGCAACACAAGGAATAAGACAACGATCACCATCGTGACTTCCTGCTTGGGAAGCGCAGAACATATTCAAACAAGCGTGTGTTGAAAAGCGGGCGCAGGGCAACGTGGCGTACGTAACCTCTTTTTAGAGTATTCGTTGGGCCGCTTTAAACAATAACACACGCCACCCTTTTACGACGCACTTCGTACACTGCTGCTGTCTTGGACGACCCCCCCGTGTTCGACAAGATCAAGAAGCGCGTCTCAGCCAGGGCTAATGTTCAAAACAATGCCATGCATGTCCAGCCTGTTCTCACCACACACACACACACAATTCTGGACACACCTCTGGTGCCAGCGTGTGCTTACCCGGCGAAGCCCTTCAATACGACGCAGGCGGTGTAATGAGGACCGCTGTAGGCTGCGTGCAATCGGCGATGCTGAGCAACGGAAAAGACACATGTGGGTTAAGACACGTCCTGGGGAATATCTGTTCTTTTGAGCAGGGACCAGCCGTCCTGGCATTCCTATAAGGGTACTACGAAATGCTCTCCAACCCAATATGTTCTTATAGCACAACAATGTTCTTAGAACATAAGCCCGATGCGTTAAACAAGGACAAGCTCCATCTCAACAAGAAATGTTATCATAACACTCCGTACAGACCACAAGACTTTCTTAGACCACTATTTTGGGGGCCTATGAGCAAGCCACAACGCTTCGCCACTCATTGACACATTTGGGCTAAGACACGTCCTGGGGATAATCTATTCTTCCGATGAAGGACCGACCCTGAAGGCCTACCACATAATGTTCCCAGAACCCAAGACCGTTCTAATAACAGGAACATTGTTCTTAGAACATAGACCCGAGGTGCAAAACACAAGACAATCTCAATCTCGACAAAGCATGTTCATAACACTCCACACAGACCACAACAGTTTCTTAGATCAGTATTTGGTGGGCCTATTGGCAAGCCAAGACGCTTCGCCACTGCTTGACACATTTGGGCTAAGACACGTCCTGGGTATCATCGGCTCTTGCCTTCGCGAGTGTGGAAAAGAGGCCTTCTAGATGGGGTCGGAATAGATGGGGTCGGAGGATCGCGCCGCATCGCCGATACATCGGCGATGCATCGGCGATGCACCAGCGATTCATCGTCGACGTCGGCGATGCATCGTCGACGTCGACGATGCATCGGCGACGTCGACGTGAAGCAAATCGGGCCGCACCTCGAGCTGCATCGTCGATGCATCGGCGATGCGGCGCGATCCTCCGATCCCATTTGGGAGGCCCAAAGACCTGGGGAAAGGGTCGGGACTTCCGGGGACCGCATATTGAATCGGGGCGTCGCATGTCTGGGCTTTCACCGCCGATACTCGGCGGCGCGCCCTGGGGGGGAAGGGAGAAGGAGCGGGCCTTCTCAGAAGGCCTTCTCAGAAGCCCTCCGGCCTCCTGAAAAGGTTTCCTGCGTCTTCGGGGGAGGCTCAGGAAGCTACTCTTAGGTCGGGCGCATCCCCCTACAGGCGGATGTTTGGCGGAAAATGAAAACTACCAACAAACATACTCCCAAATAGCCAACAAACAATCAACAAATCGTCGCCAGACAATTTTCGGACTATTGTGGAATTTTCCTCCTGTAGAGGGACAGGCCCGACTTGAAGCTACTCCGACCCCATTCGGCGGTGGACAAACCTCCCTTTCGTAAACCTCCCTGAAATGGAGACGGCCCAGGACCGAAACCCACGGATTTGGACCCGCAAGAATGACGGCCGCTCCCCCCCCCGCGCGAACAGAAAAAACTGTCAATTCGCTAATCGACGTGTCAGGGTAGGAAGTCCCCCTACAGGCGGATTTTTGGGCGAAAAATTTGCAATATCAAACAAACATCCAAAAATGCTCAAACATAGTTGAGAAAACGTCCCCAGACTACTATTTGATTATCTTGGAATATTCCTCCCGTAGCGGGACACGCCCGACTTGGAAGCTACTCCGAGGTGGACCGAGGCGCGCCCGCGGGCGGCGACGCCCTGGCCTCGGCCGCCTTGCCCGCGAGGGGCTCCGGCTCCATCTCCCGGAGGTCCTTGCGGGCGGCGGCGGCGGCGGCGGCTTTGGCCCTGGCGGCGGCGGCGACGCCAGCGGCGCAGAGTATGTGGCAGCTCCTCCTCCCCCTCCTGCTCCTGCTCCTGCTCCTCCTTCTCCTCCTCCGCCAGCGACGCCAGCTCGGCGGTTTTGGAAACCCTATGCCCAAAAACGTTTTCATCTCTTGTGGGCACCTGTTTCACTTCCGCCACCTTCCGCCGAGCTTCCGCCGGCTTCCGCCGGCAGAGGTGGCCTCGTGTTAGTTCCGCCGACCTTCCGCCGCGGAAGAGATGAGAAGTCATTCGATTCCCGAAGGCACGGCCCTTTTTGGAACGCCTCATGTGACGAAGCCAGGACGAGGATGAATTCGGACGAGGGGTCAGTGAACCCGTATAGTAAGGATGCGCGGTGAGGATGCAAGAGCCTTGGATGGCCGGGCGGGCGGCCAACGCAAGCGGCCCAGGATGGGCCGAGGAGGCAAGGACGCAAGGGTAATTACCCTTGGGAAGGCCGCCCGTCCTCACTGTGCGGGTTGACTGTAAGACGAAGCCAGGACGAGGAGAAATTCGGACGAGGATAGATCGAGAATCTCTCCAGAGGATGTCACGGGCGCCGCGGCCTTCTCAGAGCGTTCCGGAACGCGTTGAGAGCGTTCCAGGACGGATTTCTCCTCGTCCTGGCCCAGTCCGACACAAGGGTCACCCCGTGCGGCCCACAAGATCACGAGGGACGAACATATCCGTATCCGCGCCCTCGCGGTCTGGATTCTGGGGCGCGCTCCCGCGGATACGAGGTCGCACGGATACGCTCCGCGAGGCGCAACCGCGAAAAAACCCTTCGCATCCGCGGTGTCGCGGCCCAGGGGCCGGGCCCGCGAGGCCGCGGATTCGGATACAGGAGGGGCCCAACCCTGAGACCCCAGGACGTCCATCGATTGTTGGTGTGGGTACGCCACGTTGTCCATCGCAAAACCATCGAAACCCAAGGAAGCTAGGGCACCGTGGAGGCAAGCAGGGTGCTTCTTGGCATGGGTCTCCGCTGTATGGACATGTTTCCCGCCCGCGACGAATCCCCCCAGCACTGGCTGGCGCGCTGGGATGGGCGCCCCCTTCGCATCCCCTTGACGCCGCTGGCCCGCAGGACGGCGCCCTCGGCAAAGGGCCGCGCTCGGCGGCCACGACGGCCACGACGACCACGGCGGCTGCGGCGGTGGCAGCACCGACAGACCCAAGTCTCGGCGGCGAGCGAGGGGCGGACGTGAGAAGAGGTGGGCCTTATCAGAAGGCTCGGAAGTCCACCCGGCGTCTGAAAAGTGTTTTAAGCCTTCCTGGAATACACAGAAAACTTCTCAGAAGGCGCGAGGGCTTCTGAGAAGTCCCGCCACCTTCTGAGAAAGCCTTCTCCTTCTCACTTCCCCCCCTCGCTCGCCGCCGAAAATATCCGACGACGTGATTTTTACAGTCGGGGTGTTTACCGTTCCGTTCCGACGACGACGACGACGACAGTCTTCGCTTCAAATGTGTCGACACTTTCTGGAGGCTCTCGCCGCCACTGGCCAGCATGACCCCGGGAGGGATCGGGAACCAATTAATTCTGGGCAGAATTGGGGAAACGACGAAGAGGAAGTGGCGACGGCAACGACGTCGGCGACGACGACGACAGACGACCCACGACGACAGCACTTAAACTTTCCCGCGACCTTTGATGGGCCTGTTTTCCACCACCACCATAAGTTGGAGGGGGGAAGGAGGAGGACGAGGAGGAGGAGGACGAAGAGGAGGAGGACGAAGAGGAGGAGGAGGAGGAGGAAGCCCCCCTCCCCCTGCAACTTATGGTAGTGGTGGTGGTGGAGAACGAGCCCATCAACATTTGTCTTTAATCCCGTCATTTTTCCTCCCTTCCGGCCCCTGGGCCCGTTATATCGGGCTACGGGTCGGTCAGAGGCGGCTCGGGAAAGAACAACTATCTCCAGAGAAGCGGGTGGGACCTCTGGGGCAGCGGATCGGAACATACCAATCGGCGGATGTCTGGGTTTGTCGGGGGGGACGCCCTCTGGCGAGCCGAGAACGGCCAATTCGCCAATCGACGTGTCAGGGTAGGCGGTCTATCAACCTCCGAGGGGAGGGAGAAGGAGCGGGCCTTCTCAGAAGGCCTTCTCAGAAGCCCTCCGGCCTCCTGACAGGTTTCCAGCGTCTTCGGGGGAGGCTCAGGAAGCTACTCTTAGGTCGGGCGTGTCCCCCTACAGGCGGATCTTGGGCGGAAAATGAACAATACCAGCGAAAATCTGGCGACCCTGTCGGCGTGTGTGAAGGGCTCTTCCGTTCGAGTCGGGCTTTCCCGTTCGACTCGTCGTCGCCGTCTTCCTGAGTTCCATTCACCTGGGCCCGCTTCCCCAAACAAGCCGTGCACAGCGAAATTGGACAACGTCGTAGTTCAGTCGAAGGGAAGCACCTTCCCTTTGATCCCTTCCCCGCGCGGGAGGGGGGGGGGTCCTGGGGGGGTCCCTAGGTGATCCTGGGGGGGGGGTCCTGGGGGGGTCCTGGGTGGGTGCCGGGGGGGGGGTCGCCACCCAGATTCGAATTCCTCCCGGGGGGTAGCAAGGCCAAGAAAAGCCCCAAGACGGACGGTACAAGAGCGCCACGCATCGACGAACGATCGCCCCAAGACGTTCAAGACTGCTCGAAAACGGCCCAAGAGGCCCCCAAGAAGCTCCAAGAGAGCGCCAAGAGCACTCCCAAGAGGGCCCCAGGAGCCTCAATCGTAAATTTTATCTTGGTGTTTGAATGATTTCAGCCTTCTCGCCTTCTCGGCTTTCCGACGGTCCAAGACTGCCCAAGAGGCCCCCAAGAGCGCCCCAAGACAGCCCAAGATGCCTCCAAGAAGGCTCCAAGACGGCCCAAGAGGGACGCAGGACGGCCCATTGCAAGAAGCGCCGAAAACGGCCCAAGAGGGCGGACGGGCCCAATAGAGTGCCCAGAGGGGGACGAGCAACCGAGAATTCTAGACTTCCGCCCCATGAGGCCCCCAGGAAGCTCCAAGAGGCTCAAAGAGCGCTCAAGCGGCCCCAAGAGGCCCCAAGAAGCTTCCAAGAAGCCCCCAGGAAGCCCCTAGAGGCCCCCAAACTGCTCCCCATAGGTTCCCGAGAGCGTTCCGAAGAGACCCACGTCAGCGTCGTCGTCCTCGCCGCATCCTTCCACTCCTCCTCCTGCCACTCCTCCTGCCCCTCCTCCGGAGCCTCCTCCAACTGCTCATTCCTCCTCCTGTTCGTCCCCCGTGTCCTCCTGCTGCTGCCCCACCTCGCCCACCGCCGCCTCCTCTTTCTCCTTCTGCTCATCCTTCTGCTCATACTGCTTGTCCTCCTGCTCCTCCTCTTCCCTCGTCTTCGCCGTCGTGGATCAGGGTCGGCGGCACCGGCCGTCAGGCCTCTCCGATACTCCGAAATAGCAAACAATAATCAACAAATCGTCCCCAGACTACTTTTGGACTATTTCGGAATATTCCTCCTGTAGAGGGTCAGGGCCGACTTGAAGCTACTCCGTCCCCACTCGGCGGTGGACAAACCTCCCTTTAGTAAGCCTCCCTTGAATGATAACGGCCTCCGACCGAAACCGACGGACCTGGACCCGCAAAATGCTGGCCGCGACGCCCTCTCGCGAACCGAGAACGGCCGATTCGCTAATCGACGTGTCAGGGTAGGAGGTCTATCAACCTCCGAGGGGCGGGAGACGGAGCGGGCCTTCTCAGAAGGCCTTCTCAGAAGCCCTCCGGCCTCCTGAAGGGTTCCCTGCGTCTTCGGGGGAGGCTCAAGAAGCTACTCTTAGGTCGGGCGTGCGTGTCCCCCCCTACAGGCGGATTTTGGGCGGAAAATGAGAACTACCAACAAAAACACCCCAATATAGCCAACAACGGGTCAAGGGTCGAATCCCCCCCTGCGTTTTTAAGCAAATCGTTACATTGGTGTCGGGCCTCTCTCTCTCTCTTTCTCCCTCTCCCTCTCCCCTCTCTCTCTCTCTTTCTCTCTCCCTCTCCCTCTCCCCCTCTCTGTCCCCCCCCCCCTCGAAAACCACAGGGGGATCACTACCGGTTCGAATCCCTCCCCACCCCCCCACTCACCGCCAGCAAACGACTCCCGGTCCCTACCACCGACCGCATCACATCCTCCACTGTTGTTCCCAGCACCACTGTCCTCACCACCACTGTCCCCACTGTGTCCCCACCAGTGCCCCCACCACTGTCGCACTGTCCCCACTGTCCCCGCCACTGTTCCCACCACGGTTCCACTCTCCCCACTGTCTCCACGGCCCCAACCACTGCCCGACTATCCCCACTGTCCCCACTGTCCCACTGACTCCGCCGCTGTCCCACTGAGCTGTCCCACTGTTCCCACCACTGTCCCCACTGTCCCCACCACTGTCCCCACTGTACCTCTGTCCCATTGTCCCACCGCCGTCCTCGCCACCGCCTTCACCACTGTCCCCACCACCATTGTACCCTCCACTGTCCCACTGTTTCCACCTCATTCCCACTGTGCCCACACCACTGTCCCCACCACCACCGTCCCCACCACTGTCCACTGTCCCCCCTGTTCCCACCATTGTCCCCACCACTGTCCCCACCACTACCGGCCCTCTACTGTCCCACTGTCCCACTGTCCCCACCACTGTCCCGCTGTCCCCTCACCACTGTCCCACCAACACCGTCCCCACCTCTGTCCGCACCCCCACTCGGTTTTCGAGGGGGGGGGGGGGGGGGGTTCGAACCGGTAGTGACCCCCCCCCCTTTTCATGATGAGCTGGGGGGGGGGAGGGGTTCGAACCGGTAGTGACCCCCCCCGGTTTTCCGGAGGGGGGGGGGGGGAGGGGTTCGAACCGGTAGTGACCCCCCCGGTTTTCCGCCAGCAGCGGTATAACACGCTCTTTCCAATAGACTGATACACATACAATACTACTACGGCAATACAGAACCAGGGTACGGCTACCCTGCTTGAGCACTCCGATGTGA